GTTACCCAGGACCTTAGTCAAAACCACTCGTTCAACGAGCTTCAGACTGCTCAGGACATCAGCCAGGACCAGAGTTTCTCATCTGCCATCGGACCAGAACTCACGAGAGAGCTTATCAAAGATATCTCACCACTGAGCTCTGATAACATCCTCCAAGGAGTCGAAGAAAGCTCCTCGAGACGAAGTTCGCTGGTCAACCGTCTACACGATGTGGAAGAGCGACCTATTCTGATTGTTCCTAACGCGTTAGTGGTAGAAGAACCGACCAAGGAACCGGTTTTTCCCAAAGAGAGTGATGATCTGATCAGCAGTCCTCAAATTAGTAGTCTTACGAACATTGAAGAGCTTCCATTGTCACAGCACAGTGGAGAGGGCTCGAGTTTAAACTCTACTATTTGTTTGTCAGCTGTCAAAGAAGACCCAAGCTATTCGAAGCCAGAAGAACATATTGCACAAGAAAATACTGAGGTCAAAGCTGAGCTTTTGTCGGTAAACGTTATACCTAGCTCCGCTGTAGACTCTGTAGATTCAGTGTCTGCACTCATAGAACATGCAGAAGGCCCGTCATTGCCTAGTATTTCCGCGGTATCCTTATTGAGTCTTACAGGCTCTACAAAACTAAACGAAAGCGAAACTTGTGAAGTTGGAGAAGATGTGAAGAGCCTGTTAGTCAGGTCGTCGTCCCCTATTAATGGTACTAACGAAGGTGCAATCACCTTATCGCAGAATGTATTGAAGAGTCCCGATCAAGATATTCAAGACATACATAGCAGTCAAGCAGAATCAATCTCACCCAGTTTTTACGATGCTACGGACGGCGGAGAAAGTCGTGCTGTTCTTCTAAACGACACTCCTTTGTCAACACTGAAAACGCTTAAGCTTGAGGAGCATTTAGAGATTAATGTTCCTAAGGGAAACGAATGTAGCGAGACATTCGGTAGCGACGTTGAACTTTCATCAAAGGTAGATAGCCTGAAAGTAGATGTCTCTCCTTTGGCCACAAAGGAAACAGTAGACGATAATAAGTCGGTGTTTCTGAGCGCACAAGGAACAAATATTATCGAAGAAGCAAACGCGATAAATGCAGCGAAGCAAATAGAACTCGAGGAGACAGAAGAACAATCGTTTGAAGAAAAATTAGACAAGACTCTCACTTTTCAAGATAATTCTTTAAAGTTGGATAGTGTACAAGAAATAGAACAGTATACGGATTTCAAGCCTCAACGGCAGAGTACCACGTTAGCTTTACCCGTCGAACAACCGAATTTCGATGAATTGAAAGCTGCTGCTGAACAGATTGCCGATGATATTTTTAAAACCTCGTTGGAGTTTTCCGAAGACAACGACTGTTTTATCACCGCCACACCCGACAGTGAGTAAACAATGCCTCTCCATCTGGTTATATTTTTTTTTTTATTGAATTTTTAATACGTATCTATTAATACTAATTACATTTTCAGTATTCCAAGATCCTACATCCTTCGATTTTCTCATCAACCACGGCAACAAGAAGACCATAAACCGCTTGAGAAACGAATCTTTGTATGTGAAGTTCGACCCACTGGTGACAGATACCAGTATGTTACCTCAAGGAAATAGTCCGCCTATGAACGAGGAACAAAACGGCAAAACTGAAAGCACGCCGCCAAACATTGTTACTCCAAAACGTAATCCTGCCATAGCAGCTATAGACAGGCTACTTTTTTACAGTCCTCTTTGTACTAGTATGACGCAGAAAATGGAAGAACCTCTGGAAAAAATCGTGAGTACATAACCTACAAAGGAAATAGTAGAATGCATAGAAAAATCCTAAACACACAAATGTTGAATTATATCCAGAAACCGACTACGGAAGAACCAAAATCGGATGCTCCGCTAGTTAACGATATCAATATGAGCAAAGAACTAGAGTTAGTAAGGGCGACCGTACTACAACTAGAGGAAGAGCTAGAGAAGCAAAAGAAGGAGTACGAAGCTGAATTGGAAAGACAAAAGAACTCTTTCCAAGAAAAGATTAACAAGTTACAAGCACAGATCGCGCAGGAGGTGAAGAGTAAATCGGAGATGACGTGAGTTATTTGTTATCTCTAAAGTATCGCTTTTTAAATGAAATAGAAGTAACAAGAGTTGTTGACAGGGTCGTAATTGGGGAATATGAGAGATCGATTAGTCGAATGCTCACAGAGGTAGAAAGAGATCGTACGACTTTTGAGCAAGAGAAAACAAAGGTGCAAGAAGAGTTGCATACCACGAACGTTCATTTAACGAACACGGAGGCTGCTTTCAATGATGTTCATCAAAAATATGAGAGGCTTAAAGGAGTCGTGACCGTATATAAAAACAATGAAGCAGTTCTGAAAGAAAGTATCCAGGAAAATCTAGAAACTATTAAGAGTTTGGAAACCCGATACGATAACCTTAAAAATCATGCTTTGATTCAGCTCGAGAAGTATATGTCTAAATGAAATTTAATTGTAATTGACTGACGTTTGATCCGTTTTATAACTTTTGATAAATGTTTCAGCGCTAACCTCGAATTGGATACCATGCGAAAACAACACCAAGACGAAACGGTAAAACTTCATGCAATGGTCAGGAAAGCAGAACTTAAAAGTAACTCGCTAGCTGAACTGGTTGAGCAGAAAACTAAAGAGAATAAAGAATTGGCCCAAATATTGGATGAAGTGATCGCCAGGGTTGGTCACCAAAACGCGGAATAAAAAAAGAGCGAACGGAATAAACGAGTATCGCGAATGCAATGCGATTAGTCTTTATTTTTTTACTCGCCCCCCTTAACGTTTTAGATACAACCACATACTAGGTATGATTGATATATATGTATACATGCGTTGTTTCTAAAATTATTAATTGCAAATTACGTTTTTGTTTCAAAGAAGCACCTTTTATTAATTATTTATAAGTTGTGAAATATATATATATATATACTATTTTATCGCTAATAAAAAAATAGACATATTTAAAACAACCTTTCGTTTATATTTGTGCAATAAAAATATAATCGGAAATTGGAGTATCGACTCCACAAATAGTTCTTAACAGTCACACGTTACGCGTCAACGACATTGTTGTACGCGATTTGTTATAATACATTTCAGAAACATCTCACTATAGTCAGTTAAATAAAATCCACTATTTGTACGTGATAGCATCCTGACGTACGTACACGCCAGCGTTCGATCACTTTATGTTTTGTTGATAAATAACGAACCTTACGCAAAGTTGAGTCAATTTTTCTTTTAGCAGCAATGAGTATTGTCAGTCTGTTGGCCCTGCCTCGATTACAAATAAAACGTGATGTGTCGCTAGTTTTAACATACGATCACTTGTGCTCCCTGGCTTGCGGGGAATATTCCTATTCTCAAGGTCGGGCATGTATTTTTTTATTGTTCTTGCTAAGTTTGTAGCGTATTGTTTGAATTGTGGATGCGTCATGCCAATTCCTTTACTTCGCAAGGCCTCTGCCACCGCCCATAGTAATTTCTGAAAATTCGTATTTTTATTATATACCATGTGGTAAAATATTAAAATAAAAACTAAAGAGTAATTAAAAAGACATCTACCTTCCTATGCGTGTCGCTGAGTTCGTTTCTTCCTTCGGCTAAAGATTGTTTATTCTTCGTAATTATGTTGCTAGATGAGTGTCTGTCCCACGTAGATACCACATTATTGTGCAATTCATGAGAACAATCGAACGACAAACTCTTCGGCCACTTGAACCGTGGGCCCTCTAATTCCTCTTCGTTCTTTCTTTTCCTCGACTCCTCTACCTTGTGAATTACTTCGTAATCATTCTCCTTTGAAACTTGCGTGAATAGAGCGCGTTTGATGCTCTGAGGATTCGATCCAGATGTGAACAACTTGCTTGGTCCAGCGCGATCGGGAGGACTTTGAAAGAGAGCACGCTTTGACGTATCTATCTTGGCCTTTAACGGGCTAGGCCCATCTAAACAAAGCCTACGAGCTACTCTTTTCTTTGTCGAACTTCTTGGGGTTCCTCTTGGGCTTTTACACCGCGGACTCTTTCCTCTCGGACTTTTCCCTCGCGGACTCTTTCCTCTCGGACTCTTCCCTCTTGGACTTTTGCCTTTCTTAATAATTGGCTTCCTTGATTAAGAGAAAAGAAATATTTTCAATCAACGCATTATTATCTGTAATAAAGTATTTAAAATTCGAGTACATACTTAATGCTTAACACTCGCAGTTTCTTATTGTTGAGCGCTAATCCTTGCAAATTTGCACTAGAAAACGTTCTTCGTCTCCGCGTCAAATGACTTAATCTCTTTCCTGGGCTTTGACCATTGTCGCGTTTAGCTAAAAGACTTCGTTTTCTGGCGCTTCCTGGTGCTTGCTTGGAAAACCATATAGTACAAGTAGATTGTGTCTCTACCCCTATGTATCTTTCACATAATTTTGGTGTAAGGTTTTCAAACTCTTCTACTGCCCTATTTCTGTTGTAACTAAAATATTCCATAACACATACATAACAAAATACTTCTGGCATGATACATCAATTGAAACACATTGAATATTAATGTACTCACTGTATCCCATGAAATTTATGATGATATGCTTCAGGCCATGCCAAAGTAGCAGTTTCTTTCTCACCAACAGTATGATAAAGAAGCAATTGATCTTGTAAAGAAGCAGAAGACTCTTGCTTTATTTTATTTTCACTTATAGATACCTGTACCTGCTCATTGCTCAAGACTTTTGTTGTGTGTTTATTATTAGTCATTGCATTATCTTTATTTCTAAGTACTGCTTCCTCTATTGATAAATTATCACTGTTATTTTTAACATTTACTTCTTCTGCACTGTTACAAACATTACTTGGATATTGTGGATCACAAGCATCAAAATCATTAGACAAATTTCTGGATGTGCTTTTGACACATTGTTTGTTTGTACTAATGTTTTCTTTCTGATGACCCAGAGATTCCTGATTTATATCTTGGTTCAATTGTTTCTCTGGTAATACACCAGGTGTCCAAAATAGGTGATAATTTTCGTAAATACGTGCTAGGAATTCTGTACAGTCAGTTCTGCATATTGTAAGTTTAGGTGGTGGAGGTACACCACTTAAAAGTTTATTAATTTTAGCTAATAAATTATAATCAGATTTAGCAATCAAGTCAGCTTGAGAAGGTTTCTCAGAAGTAGCTACTACCGTCACTAGTTCATTTGTTACTGTTTCAATGGTTGACTTGTTTTCTTCGTTATCACTTTCGAACATCTCTGGACTAGAGACATTTGGAAGTTCTTTTTCAATTGCAAGACTCCCATTTTTGTTGAAATAACAGCAATCCATGGCATTGTCTACAAAAATTTATCTATCTTTGCTATCACATTACTAATAATGTTATTATTATCTTATTATTATCTTTAACATGGTATAGCTTTCATACAATTCTTGATTATATTTATTGCGAATATAATCTAAAGTAACGATTAATCAAATAGTTCCCTTTCATTCTTTGACTATTCAAATAAAACGTTAACGCGTACATTACGAGGAGCAACGCTATCTAACCTTAACAGGTAACTAAGAATAAATGTAAGAATCAATTCGAAATAAAACCATACTCCTTGCAAGTATCTAAATTACACAGAATTTGCATAAGTATTATATGGCATTTAGATAATACTGAGCACTTGTTACAAAACATGACTATTCTTTTGCTTTGTTACACTGGCCGTGTAACTGTTCCACATTACAGTTAAAAGTCATGTAAACGAAAAAATCGTTCGCGTGCATAAGTTTAATTATACTTACGTCTTTTAGTTTATCGACCTTCGAATATTTCTCGCTCAATAATTTACTGGCCAGAAGCCAATTCATCTGTTTTCTATTACAATCATCAAGAATAACACTACTCAAAACTGGTCAAAACGTAACATTGGCTCGCAACAGCTCGCAACGTCATGCAACTGATAGGAAGGTACGTTCCACACTTTATGGCTGACTTTCGTGTTACGTGATATTGATGATGCAATTGAATTGCCTTTTTTTTTCACTTAACATTTCAGAACGTATTTTTTATGTATACATTAAATTATACGTTTTATTAACATAGTTTTCACATAATTTATTACATATATGCAAATTATGCTTTGTCCAATAAAAATGCTGTACTAAACCAGGAGTGTATCGTAGGTTCACCACATAAGGGGTCAATCAATATATTTTAATTTCTCTTATTTTATTTGATATTATTTGATATGCTTATGATATACTTTTGATGATTCTATCAATGCAAGATTCTGATTATATAGAAATACAAAAATTTCTAAAGTTCTACAAGCCACAAAATTAAATGTTATTTATACAGAACTCATTATTTTTGAAACATTTACTTTGTTAAGAATAATTCAAATGTTTAAGAAAATGTAAATAGATGCATAGACGAAGTTTCATATTTATTTTCATTTCTATTAGTTTTTAAATATTTATTGACGATTGTAAGGTACCGTTAGGAATGTGACTACCTGTTACGTTATACTGCATTATCTAAAGTAGGAAAATTGATAAGTACGAGTGACAGTAGCGAACAACAAATGAATGTTGTGGTGGGACGTGGGGCTGTAGTTGTTATATAGATATGCATAGAACGATGATTAATAACTGTACACATTTGACATTAATATGGCTAGGATTAGGAACTGCATTTGATCGTAACAACGCATTTTTGTCAAAGTATTCGCAGTGTGATTATGGTTTTTAAATAAAATGTACGCTACAGATGACTGACTACTGCAGCTTCATCCAGTTTACTCTTGTTTACGTTTAACCTGTACAGAAAATCTAATACGCTTGTCAAGTACGTATATATGTATTTACGCAATCTTTCTCTTTATGGATTACAATAGTAAGCAGTAGAATTATATCATTTTTATACGCTTTTAAATTCAAATATTGAACATTTACTTATGCAGTTACATATGTCGTAAATTATATATATAATATTTATACGTATATAAGTTTATAACACATATATTCGATTTATTATTATAAATGCTTGTTTTATACGTATTATTATTTTATTTTTACAGTAATGTCATTATTATTTTTTGATAACAAACAATTTGTTTTCCAGGCAAACTTACAGTGACAATCATTGAAAGCAGTACCGAAATTTAAACGAAATTTTCATAAAAAATGTATTTAATGGACCTTATGTGATAATTTATTAGTCAAGGTTACCTATATTTGTATTCTATCGGAGTATATACTGATTCATACATCAATTCTCATAATTTATTCATTGTCCTTTTATGAACTTTCAATGGCAGTATGTAACTTGTCAGCTGATACGCATAGAGCCTAAGTACTATGTTATTGATTGTTCAAGATTCAGAAGTGTTTAAAAGGAACTAGTCACTTGGAGATCAAAATGAGAAACGGAATCAGAATATTTAGGTTACTTTTACAGAAAAATCTCATTGTACGAATAAGACATTGGAAAACAGCAATATTTCTACAGTGTCTGGTACCTATTGCCTTGTTTGTACTAATACAGGCTGTAAGAGATTTTAGTGTTCAGCCACCACGTGTAATTCACGAAAATACGTATTACCCAATTGAAACCAAAAACGAATTCTCACCAGTAAACAGAATTTTTACTTACTTATATTATGTACCTCAGAATGACTACACAACAAACATTATGGAAGATATACGCATGTGTTTCAAAATGCCGTATGAGAGTAATTATTTTATTTAATAATTTGAAATTTTATGTAATATTGCACTGTTGATGTTTTAAAGTATATCATGCTGTTTTTTCTGTTTTTGTGTCTTGCAGGGGTTAGCGGATTTTCAACAGAAGATGATATGATAAAGGCTTATACAGTTTTACAAGCTAAAACTCCAACTGTCATAGTTTTAGGCCTTGTATTTGAAAAATACAATACAACCGATATAAGGTACAAAATTAGACATGCATTTCAAATTCCAGAGATGCTATTTCAAACTATATTCGATCAAGGGTCATTTAATTCTTACAATATATATTTAAATGCCATACCATTTGTACAATTACAAGTATGTACCGACGAAGCTTTTATAAACCGCACAGCAGTACATTCTATGCTTGATACTCAGGTATTATATACAAAGCATTAATTTTAGTTATTGTCCTTTACAATATTTTATAGAATTTTATATGTATTTACGTTTTTATATATTTTTTAGTTGTCAATACAAAGAATGCCTTATCCGCCATATGTTAAAATAGATGATGCTGATACAATGTTAAGGGTAGGAATATGTATGTTTGCAGTAATTGCTTTTTTAATACCACTTTGCTTGGAAACAAGCTATGCGACAAAGGAAAAATACATTGGAGTACATGTTAGTAGTTTACAATGTAATGTACTTTCTTACAATATAAAATTAGATAAGGAGCATTCATTCTTTGTGTTGTGTACTTACATACAGGTGTTGATGGCAATGAATGGAGTAAAACAGTATCAGAATTTATTAAGTTGGTTGATCACAGGCATTATATTCAGTATTTTTTATATTATACCAATACTAATATTATTTAAAAATACTTTTACTGGAAATGTGGACCCCTACTTGTATTACAGCAATACATTCATATTTTGGCTAATACTCACAGCACATGTTGCTCATTTAATATCATTTGGTATGCATATTGCTGCGTATTTTTCAAAACGTAAGTTCTGTTTCATCATAGAGTACACAAGTTACGAAATAACTTTGATTCATATAGTAATTGTTTTACAGCACGTTTTGTGACAATAACATTATCAGTTGTTTACACTGCTTCTTTTTCACTTCATGGAAATTTAATAAGGCAACAAGTTCTTTCTATCATACCATATTTGGGAATATTGTTTCCGAATATGTTACTCTATAGATTCCTTGAAGAGGTGAACACATACGAAACCCAGTGTATGTAACAAATTTTGTAATAGTTATTTTGATGATCATTTAATGTAACAAGTGCAAGTGAGTATTAAATATACCGAAATTTTAGTAACTGGTGTACGATGGTCGAACATGTTCATTACTGGAGATGCACAATACAGTATTGCTGGATGCACTGGATTTATATTTATATTTTCAATTTTGGGCATTTTTATACACTTTTGTCTTGCAGTATATGTAAATAACATACTTCCAGGAAAGTATGGAGTTCGAAAATCTCCTCTTTACTTTTTAACGGTAAATTTGTTAGCATTGCACTGTATTTATGCAAACATTATATGAGAATGTTTGTTTAATAAAAAACAATTTTTACAGTTTATTAGGAAGAATAAAGTGAATCTTGACGAGGATATGGAGGATTTTGATTATACTGAAATAGATAATGACAATTTTGAAACAGTATCAAAAGGTGTACTTACTCCTGGAATTCAGATACGCAATCTTAAAAAAACATACAGATCAAGTTTCTTAAGGAAATCGGTATGTTTCAAATATATATTATAGTCAATTTTGTACGGATTAATTCTTCTACTTTTATTACTGTATTTATAATTATTTTTTAATAGAAAGTTCACGCTTTAAAAGGAATTTCGATGGATTTATATAAAGGTCAAATAACAGCCTTATTGGGCCATAATGGTGCTGGAAAAACTACGCTGATGTCTATCCTAACAGGTACCGATTATATCATCCATAAGAAAAATGTATGTTTTCGCGTTTCTGATTACACATTCTTCGATAGGTGTTATAAGTGCAACTGAGGGGAAAATTCTTATAGATGGTAAAAATATTGAGAAACACTTAGAATCCATTAGAAATGATCTGGGATTATGTCCACAAGAGAATATGATTTTCCCAGATTTGAATGTATTCGAGCAATTAGAATTCTTTGGTCAAGTAAGTAACCTAGAAAAACTAAATGACATTGCGCTATATAATATAAGAAAATTATGTTATATAAAATTACAGTTGAAAAGTAAAAATAAAACAAGGAATGAAATAAAACAGAATGTTAATGTTTTGCTTGACAAATTAAAAATGCTTGAAAAAAAGAATGTTCTGCCAGACACATTATCTGGAGGACAAAAGAGAAGGCTGTGCCTTGGGATGGCTCTTATTGGTGACGCTAGTGTAAGGATTTATTAGGGATAATATAAATCGAATAATTTTTTTATAAGAAAAATGTAACAAACGATTTATTTCAATAATATTTTATATAGACTATAATTTTGGATGAGCCGACATCAGGAATGGATCCTGAGACTAGAAGAGATATATGGGACGTCATATTAGTAAGAAGCCATACATATGTATAGTTAGGATAAACAATAATTGATTTGTAGTTTGCTTTGAATTAATTGGTCAACTTTTTATAGAAAATAAGAGGAAGGAAAACAATATTAATTAGTACACATAATATGGAAGAGGCTGATATACTTGGTGATAGAATCGCTATTGTTCATGGCGGCAAATTAAAATGTTATGGCACATCGATGTTTTTAAAGAAGCAATATGGTTAGCGAATTTAAATATCGTTTGTATTAAGTTACAAATGATATATTTCTATAATTTATAATATATTATTTGATTGTAGGCTATGGTCATATAGAAGTTACGCTATCAACTAAATCATGGTGTAATCCAGAGAAAGTCATAAACAAGTTTGATCCTAGAACGCAGCAAGTAAGCGTAGACAGTGAGAAGATTATCTTAAGTGTACCAAATACTGAAACTTTACCACAATCTTTGGATAAAGTGGAAAATCAAAAGAAGCAAATAGGAGTTACAGGAATCAGTGTATCGCTAATTACCTTAGAAGAAGTGTTTTTAAAGTATATTAATCTTTAAGTTTGTTTCATTGCTATTTTATAAGACTTGTACGAAAAATTATTTATTAACTATTTTATCGTTTAGAGTCATCAAAAAGGAAGACAATGGAAAACACCTGAATGAATTATTTTCTCCGCCGTCGCAAAGAATAGATGGATGGAATTTATCTATACAAAGAATTTTAGCACTGTACCATAAGAAACTGACCTACACTAAGAAAAACTTAAGTAACACATTACTAACAGTAAGTGTTGTTACTCTTAGGCCAAATATTTTATAGGTTATGTGTGATAATAATCTGTTTCAGATATTTCTACCAATTTTGTCAATCGTACTAATGGGTTTAAGTTACGACACACCCGGTGAATCGACAAATATATTTCCATTAGAGCTTAGTATGTACAGACGGCCTCAAGTTTTGTATTCAAGTAAAAACGAAACTATTGGTATGCAATACCAGAATGTGGTGGCAGAGTTTGGTGGATCTTCGGAAGAAGTGGCTGATAATACCAGTGTTACGAGTGGTAAATATAATAATAAATATCTAAATGATGTTGTAAAATTATAAGAAATTGAAAAAAAATACAACCGTTTTTACAGCTTTATTGGATCGTTCTCTTCAAGATATCGCCAAGTACCGTAATAGGTACATCGTCTCTGCGGAATTTAATATATCCAACGGAGTTTTAAATGCTAATGGCTTGTATTCTGGCATTGCAATTCATAGTATTCCTTTGACTGTGAATCTTTTATCGAATGCGTTGATAAGAAGTGCTGCTGGTAGCGAATATTCCATTCATGTTTCCAGCCAGCAGTTTCCAAACAGTCTTTCTTCGACAGTATTACCTGTGCCTGAAACGGAGTCGTTGTCAAGAGTTTTAATGTTTTGCTGCTTTTTCTTCCCCACTGTAGCACTTTTTCTTGTTCATCCCTTTCAAGAAAGAGAAACTAAAATGAAACAGCTTCAAAGAATGACGGGAGTTTCGTCCGTATCTTATTGGTGCACTATGTTCACGTTTGATTTAATAATACTTACTGCGTCCGTACTTATTATCGTACTAGGATTTTACGCCATGGATGTTATTTTAGATATTCGTCTGTACTATAAGATAGAAATATGTAAGATATTAATTTGATTTTTTTTATAGATTATGTGAGGCGAAAATGCAAGGTGCCCACTTTAGTCAATTTTGTACATGTTTGTCTTGTTTTCAGTGACAATGATATTATTAATACTGCTTTTTGGTATCAACTCTTTATTTATAACGTATATCTTCAGTTTCTTGAACAAATCAAGAAGTTCCTTAGTAACCACATTGAGTCTTATGCCTGTTGGACTAGGTAAGTTATATTTACTGAAATATTAAAGAATTTTAATAATATTATGGTATTTTGTTGCGTTTCAGTTCTGTTACAGTATCTCTTGCATGAGGTTATTCACAGTTTTGAAAACTTGCGTGTCCTATACCTAATACAAAAGAGACTGTTCCGGTTGATACCGCACGTGAGCCTATTCCATGGTCAATTATCTTTCTTCGACGTGGCTATACAAAACGCAAGATGTCGTCGATTACCAGACCGACTGCTAGATGTAGTTTGCATTGGTGTGAAAGATGTTTGTTGTGGTACGAGTACAATGACAGTATATGTATATTGTAATAGGCTATTTCAGTATTATATAACATTGTTATGGAATAATATTTTTTGTAGGTTTGGAATGCGCTAACGGAAACTGCAAAAATCAACTTCCTTATTTTTCTAATCAGAACAGCGACATGAACTTGTTGGAATGTGTTATATATTTATCTGTCACGCCATTCATATATTTCAGCCTGCTTATAATTTTAGAAGAAAGATTATTTGACAAATTATATATCAAGATGTTTGGTCAGAATTTGAGGAACGCGTGTGAAATGAACGACGACCAAGTACGGAAGGAGAAGAATGCTGTAGCGTTAGAGATCAGGAAACTGACCAGACGCGGTAAACAATCATTCAAAATCAAATGTATTTATTTAAATGTGTTGAGAACAATTTTATTATTAACCATAACTTAATTAGTAGCTGAAGGTCAGAGGTATGAAGATACTAAAAAGGAACCTGCTGACATCACTCTCACAGAGAGTCCAGAAAAAAGCGATGATAATCTCTTCTTGGTTTACGAGCTGAGTAAATATTATGGGAGGTTAATGGCGGTACAGGAAATCAGTTTCCGAGTGAAGCAACGCGAATGCTTCGGATTGCTTGGCGTCAACGGCGCTGGAAAGAGTACAACGTTTAGGATGTTGACCGGTGAAGAAATACCGAACAGTGGTACCATGTATTTAGGCAAATCAGATATTCGTACTAACAGGAAAAATGTATGCACAATAATGTTTAAATGTGTAACAATTATGTACCGTTCTTCAACATATACAATCTTTCCCATAGTATCTTGCTCAGATGGGATACTGTCCACAAACCGATGCGATGCTCAGTTCTTTGAATTCATTTGATCATCTGCGGCTGTTTGCTTTGTTGCGTGGCATACCCAAATCGAAAGTGGATTTGGAGGTTAACAAATGGATCAATCGACTCAGTAAGTCGCGCGTGTGTTCAGTTTATCTCGAAGAATAATCATAAAGTCTATAGACACGTTCGCCGTTTTAGATTTAAATGCTTGCATGTCACAACCAAGCGGTACCTACAGCGGAGGGAATAAAAGACGCTTGAACATTGCAATGGCGCTTATCGGTAATCCAACTCTTGTTTTGTTGGATGAACCAACGACAGGCGTCGATCCAGCGGCTAGGAGGTCTCTATGGAATATACTTCAGTCTTGCCAAGCAATGGGACAAGCTATTATACTTACTTCTCACAGGTATTTCACTCGACTGGGTAATCCATATTATTAGAAAGCTATTGTATCCCGATTTATATGAAATAAAAATTGTGCAGCATGGAGGAGTGCGAAGCTTTGTGCAACAGACTAGTCATTATGGTGAAAGGTCAATTGGTATGCATCGGTGCCAGTCAAGAATTGAAGCAACGATTTGGCGCCGGTTACGATATTCACATTAAATTGAACCCGAGTCGATCGGACGACGACATCAGCACTATAAAGAGAATTATGGAAACCTCTTTACCGTGTGAAGTTAGAGATGAGAATTTGGTAAACATTCAGAATAGTTGTGAAATGTCTTCGGATTCATAATTAAGGTTTTCATTCATGATATTTTGTTTTTTGTTTCGCAGGGATTTATCGCGTATCACATAAATGATATTGGAACAACGTGGGAAAAAATGTATAATACGATGAACGATTTAAAAGGTCGATTCAACTGCGTCGAGGACTACGCCGTTTTGTCGGCCACGTTAGAGCAGTTGTTTATTCAGTTCGCCAGAGGAAACGAACAGCCTAACCACGAAAATACTTTAGTAGATTCTCCACAGCAGACACATATTACATAAATAATATTTTGATAGTATTTCAAATTTGCTTTTTAAACTATTTCCTTAAAGGCTTTTCATGTGTTTGTTTATAAAGTTATTAAACAAACACACTTGTGTTGTGTTCTATATTTATATGTGATGTTATGATAACAAATGTGTACATTTCCAATTTAAAGAGAAAGTATTATATATAAATGTAATTTTATTTATTTTTTAAAGACTTGTATCGCGAATTGTAACGTGACTTGTGTCACGTCGTTGTATGTAAATAAAATTCAGATCTAAATCAATTATTTGTAGATAGCTCATAAATAACTAAACGTGATATTTTCAGGCAACTGTACAAGGATAGGATACGACGATTTAAATAAAAACACTTATGTTTTGTATAAATAAAAAAAGTGACATAAACGATATATTCTTATGTACATAAGGCCGCCATTAAATATGATTATTATCATGGAACAAAATTGATCGTGTAACACGCAATGACTTTTTTTTATGGTGTCGTTTAGTAACGGTATCCGCCCGAACTTGATTGGTATGAATTTGGACCTTGATAAGACCCACCGCCGCCGCCGCCTCCTCGTCCAGCACCGCCACCGCCTCCGCCTCCACTTCCACCGCTATTTCCTGTTTGGGAGAATAGAAAAATACACGGTGAAGAATATTCGGAGACTCATAAGTAAAAACTGTTTTGATCTATGAGTAGATTGTGAAGTAAATCCTCAAGCTCGATACGATTTGTAGAAAGGATATTGCATGCATATGTGATGGCAAACGTGTTAAGTAATTCAGTTTTTATTTATATTCTATATTGTAGAGTATTATACGTTTCTTCTTCCGAAAAAATATTTTACGTGGTTCCTAAAGAGAAACACGTGCTAGGAATCAATTTTTAAACAAAACATTTTGATGAAACGTACCGTAGCCACCTCCTTGAGAGTATCCACCTCCTCCACCACGACCACCACCAGCACCACCACCACCACCACTGCCGCCGCCGCCGTTGCCACCACCGCCTCCAGATGTATCTTGATTCTCGCCTCTGGCCTCAGCAGCGAGCGCTAACTCGACACCTCGTTGGATTTCTGGTGGGATCGGGGGCGGAGTCGGAAGATGAGCACCTTGGGGATGGAAACCTTCCTCGTCCGCGGTGTAAGTGACGCTGTATTGCACGCCATCGGGACCCGTGTACGAGTATGACCCGCTCACCGCTTCTCCGTTACCTGCAAGAACAAACACGTGGTCGCATGACGCAACAGGCATCCTCACGTGGATTGCGTCATCGCGGTGTATCGGGGCGTTTTTGTGGCTTTTCAGCTTGTTAGAAGCGATCATTGTTCTGGTAATCGTAATCACTCATCGCAAATGGACTCCGTGACCGAAATACAGACGGTTACATCTGGCCTTTTTTGCGTTGATTGACCGTTCTCTACATTAATGGTTTACTTATTGACTTACTCATAGACTCTTCAATTTCAGCCTACTAGAGCCTATGAACCGTGTTTTTGGATGACAATTCACAATACTCAATTCGAGGGAAGAGATAAGGCTCTCAATCCACTCTGTCTTCAATTAATTTCGCAATTTGCTCTTCACTTAATGTGTTTTGTTTTTTTTTTTTTTTTTCAAAGATCTGAACATATCAAATTTTAAACTGACAAACCCCTTATCAGTTATAGTACATGTAAGCTATACATGTACGTCAATACGGAATCTTGGCGAGGTGTCACGAAGTCCTTAGTATTTACAAATATATGGAAACATGAGATAAAGAAGTGAAGAAACAGAAGATGATTGTGCATCTTATATAACAAATACGAGTTACCGAACTTGCTTTATCAGAAAACCGTTGGACCTAACGTCGATCTGGAGGGCCGTTTGCAAGTTGGGTGGAAGCCACTTGTTAGGAGTTGCAGACTTATTGCGTTCACCGGTTCCATTGTGAGGCAGAGGGATTCGAGGTCGAACGCGATGATGGATAGGAATTCATAACACCGAGACATGGCACCGACGGACCGCGAAGAGAAGGAACTACTCGGGATATCGCTGTTGGGAAACAAGTATGGCCCTGATCTCACCTTGCTGATGACCCGTTTCCTGCGCACTGATACCATTTCCTGTTTCGTAGCTGAATTGGTAGTTGCCGTCGCCGCCGTTCTCGTTGTTGTACGAAACGATGGGTATCTCCTGACCGCCACCAGGTCCTCCCCTTGGTCCACCGCCACCACCACCGCCGCCTGCTAAAACAGAAAGCACCCTTCAGCATCGACGATGGATTTTCAAACGGGACGTATGTTTCTTATTCGACGTATTGCGACGTTGTATCGTGGAAAGTTTTCTCAGTTTTCCATCATTGTTGCACAACGGCTTTGCTTAACACTTTACAGAGCGGGTCACTCTACCAGAGATACTGTGGATCACCTGCGGAGATGCAAGCATGAGAGAACTCTGTATGAAAGTATTTGCGCAAGAGGTATGTACATGGAACTAGATCTTTTTTAATTACTTCCAAGCTTGATTCATACGGGATAAGAATCTATGCATTTCTTCTTCAAATGACCAGAACTATAATTATCTAATCGAACACATACTTTGATTCTCTGTTTCTATTTTTCAGTTTTTGGCAGACCTGACCTAAGATGCGGATGGCCACGAAGAAATCTTTCAAAATAGACATCAAAGCAGAAGCATTTCTAATTCCTCAAAATTTCATCCAGATCGCATAATTGACTTTTTATCGATTGGCTTATCTGCGTAACGCGTGGTTGCGCCACGCTCGGAGAAATCCGCGAATGTACTCGAGATTAATTCGTAATTGAATGGGGTCTAATTACTTACTACGTCGCGACGCCATACAACGGGAACGACACGAGATGTTCCCCGATGCGTTCTTATTTTCGCAACACCGCGCGGCATTCTCACCGACTTCGAATCGTACTTTAAGATACACACAGCCGTCCTCGGATACGTCTTTCATTAGAGCGCCTCGAGGGGGATAAAATGATTAGGCGGTTCGCGTTAGCGTGTTTTCACTTTTCTTTCGCCTCCGTCCGGGGGCCCTAATTCCACGGCATACTTTACATACTTGATGTAATTCAACTGAAGAGTGTCTCTCGTTGGGAGATTTCTCACTCTCTACAACTGAGATGGCACATGTCTCCTCCTGTGCGGTGACATCACAGCGCTACATAGTTTGTTCTGTAATTTCACCTGTTGCACAGGTTATCTAATTCGCCATCATTGCATCAGGACATATTAGGTGCATAGGTAATTTCTATCTATCTCTTTCGCCGATACTTTCTCGTCGTTTGGAATCGTTCGAAGACTCTGTCAGTCCAGCTGCATGAATCTATTCCGTTCTACGTGGATTTTAAGATTAATGGAAGGTAATAAATTTCGTGTGGTTCGTTTGTTCATTTCAAGATCAAAGCCTTGGAGTCGAAAATGTGCCGAATAAAATATTTCAAATGATTTCGGAATAATCTTTTCTAATATTCATACATTTTGATATCTGTCTAGATGGGACATTGATACTAAACACAGAAGGAGCAATTGGATTGAAAAGAAGGTAAACCAAAAGGCTTCATAACTAAATACAGATAGATTACTTGAAAATGAAGAAATACAAATTTGATCTAACTTTTCTTTATCAGACAGTGAATAAAATCGATACTTACGTCCACCGAATCCACCTCCGCCGCCTCCAGGACCGAATCCACCGCCACCTCCAGGACCAAATCCACCGCCACCTCCGCCGCCTCCAGGACCAAATCCACCGCCACCTCCGCCGCCTCCAGGACCAAATCCACCGCCGCCTCCAGGGCCAAATCCTCCTCCTCCTCCGCCGTAACTACCTGGTCCACCTGATCCTCCTGGTCTTCCAGGACCTCCAGGACCTCCAGGCCCTCCAGGCCCTCCTGGTCCTCGGCCTCCGGGACCACCTCCTCCTCGATTAGGAGCTTGAATCAATCCTGCGCCGCCTGCGCTGCCCGCATTACCGGGAGGCAGGTAAGTGTTGTCCAGTCGGGCCGCGTAACACGTGCCAGCGACCGCCAGCAGTACCACAGCGAGCTGTCAACAGACGGTACTTTCAGTTCTTTTATATATGTACTTCTCTCCATATAGCGATATTTTTAGACTCTCAGACGAAGAGTTTCAAGACTTCTTGGTTACAAGATCGCATGGACTGCTTGCTGCTACTTTGAGACGTCCAACTCGTCGTTTATTATTCGAATGAAATTCTGCTCTAATTAGAACTCAACAAAGATGTGTGTCGTTCAACACGTTGACTGCCACTTCAAATTGACAATGCATTTTAAAATTATTTGAACAAAATCCCAAGTTCGATCAAATTTTTAGTAAAGCTACTATCATCAAGACTGATAAAAAGTAACAAATACACCATTGAATTATTAAGTACGATCTATCTTTCACATTCTACAAACTTTGAGGGCCTTTTTCAAAACTGATATGGCAGTCGACGAGCCGACAGACACCCGAAACTGACTCGAGTAGATGGCTACATTCCACCAACTGTATACGGAGAACCGTCGCAAGGATCCGCGTGCCCGACGTCACTGTCACGCGGAGCAAAAACCGGAAACGACTGCGTGTTACTCGTACCGATCTCATCTCGCCGGTGAAGAAATTCGGTGTGTCTGAGAACGAGCCTCCCCGATGCTAACTCGTCGCACAGCGGGACGATCTATCGCCAAACGATGGCAATAATTGGTCTGTGCAGATTCAGGTCGGAGCAACCGTGCTTATATACTCGATCCGTGCCCGTGGATCGTCTTCCTCCCACCCAGCAACCGAAAGAAGAGTCTCCGGTGAACACCCGGTGCTCTCGTCCCTCGGCGAAGTTCGCGAACCCACGACGTCGGGGAGCGACGGAGAAAGGGTCGCACGGTGATCAGCGAGGAAGTAACGACTGTTAATAAAAGAAACAAAGCAACGCTATATCATTACGTCACACTGTGACTATACTACAATTGTTTCTATGATAACTTAAGTTACAAAATACTGTTGTCTATTACATCATTAAACGTTAATAGTTCGTCAAATTAGGGGGCTTAAAGACAAAAATATATTAAATCCACAATTTTGTTCTTGTATTATTAATATCTATTTTCTGGTTATAATATGATAGGTATCCACACTCAAGTTCTGGTTGTAAGGTTCCATTCTAGATTAAGAAAAAGCTGTTACTTTAACTGTAACTCTTCATTTACCACTGTCAACTATAATAAAATCTTAATCTATGTAACAGGAATGTGCTGACAATATTCTCGAGGACGATCGACAAGAGAGGGCCGAAGATGAGCTCTCGAGGAACACGGATCGAGGGGCGATTGCGCAACCAGGGTGATACAGATCGGCGGGCATCTCTCGTGGACCTGAAGGTCGACTAATCGGGTCGACATGAAAGTGAACCGAGCTCGTCGCTCGTACTCGAGCGGGCGAAGGGACCAGCGTCGATCGGCGTCGGAAAAAGTCAGGTTACAGGAGTCACTATACGAAAGGAGCATCCGCGACAGCAAAAAGACGGAGAACAGATTATGCAGAGACAGTGGCGTAACTAAGGGTGTACTGCGTGTGCCAGGTGAGCTGAAAGTACACATGACGTCTACAAGTTTGTAATATTTTCATTACTTTCCAGATTCGTCTAGCAAGACTTATCAGTTCAAGAAAGGATGCAGATCGAGGACGCGGTATTTTAAGAAATAAAACGAGTACTGAACAAAATTTGTAAGGATGTTTCTGCAAGTAGTTTATAAAATTTAAGCCCATTTCTCTTTAATTCAGAGATTTTTGATCTCGCAGGAACTCTTCAAGACGTATTATATGCTACTCCTGTGGGATACTAGCTGATAATACAAGAGCAATAATTCCTGCACCCCTGGACGCGCCACAGCTACTTTCTCGATCAGCGTAAAAAGATCGACGCGATTCCATCATCAATTGAATTATCTTGCACGTCGTCGAAGCGGCGCGTCTCTGTGATATCTGCGATCGCGACACGCGATTCTCCTTGTAATTACATCGGTCGTTCGGCGTCCGACTACCACGGGGTCGTCGGTGGATGGACGGGATGATGGCTCATGGAGAGCAACGCGTGCTCCGCAACAGCTCGCGATCCTTGCGCAACCAGAGATGCGTTGCGTATCGACCGTACCCGATTCGCGTAGGTGTGCGAGTCGTGTACGTGCACGAGAGGGGGCCGCTCCAAATCGTCTCTAGGGTTACCGATCGGCACGTAACTCGCTGCTTAACGATCCCCCTCGGGGTCACCGTACTCATGCTCCGGGGCAGACGCCTCAACTCCGCTTCCCAATAGTCTGTTACCTCTCGCGGCGAACGATTTTGCTTCAGAGCGAACTTCAGTTCCTTATTCGGTATATCTTGTTCACTTTTACCCGATCGATTCGGTGGTGATAGACAGAAAGAGAGAGAGGTAGATCACCTAGTAGCCCTTCGTAACTCATTGTGCTGTCCATCGATGCAAGGACTTCATTTTTGACCGTTTACGTCGGGCTTCCTAATGGGAAAGCGGAGACCTACTGCCCTTTTATGGTTCAGTAAAAGTATCAGCGGTTGACCAGCAGTCGTTGACACTTCTGAAAGAGAAGGATGGAAATAAGAGCTCAGATAGAGCTTTCTATCCTTCGCTACCATTCGCTATCATTGAACAGTCATAGTGTCTGTGTTTCATGCTAAGTCACTATTTCAAAACAATTACGGTATCGCTATACTGATATTATACAGAGATAGGGATCGCGAGTATCGTACACTGGATCGATTCGGGTGGTATTTATAATCTCTGGAGCGTTGTAGGATATGTTTCGTCGCGCCATCCCAACAGGGGGCTGAACTGTGAGCAAACATGTTGGGAAAGTCGGTGAAAAACACTCCCGCTTTAACTGAAACTCTGTACGCTGGCTAATCTGTTAGAGATATGTTGAAATTAGTCGCGTTCACTCTACCTGAAATTGCGTACGCTGGCTAATTTGTTGGAGGCGTACGAGGGGGTAAAAACGATAGTGGTGACGCGTTGGCAAACAAAACGTTGATTTGTAAACGTATACACGCAATCTCTACGAGTAAACTCATTAAGAGAAGTCTGTCAAAATGAGGAGAAAGGTGGCTCGGGTACGCTACAGCTTTCTTTCACCCTTAGAGTTCATATTGTTTTCGTTCGCGCCTATCCAAGTTGTAATGGTTTCGAGCAAATTGGCATAGATTGAAAAATGACATCTAGCACGAATGAAGTTAATATAGGAAACTATCAGCGTGTCAAATAATGCGCATTGGTAGGTTCTATTAAATAAAGTGCCACTCAAGAGTTCAACTACTAATAACGTAATAAAGGTCGCAAGAGTTCGTAGAGTAGTTCCATTATTGACGTTCATAATCTGCATTGAAAGCCCCCGACATAATCGCTTTGACACCGTGTCTAGTATTCGACGCGTTTCGCTTAAAGGGCGCACGAAATGACTTACGTAATCGGTCATACTTTCTTTCTATGTGGTTCATAATAACCGTTTGTGAAAGAAAGTTCCAGAACCGATGCGGTAATCCATCTCACTCCCCCAGCGGGTTATCTTACTGTGCTCCTCGGTTATGTAAACCCTTTAATTTCTAAAATCGATTTATGGATGCCAGCCCACTGATTTCTCATTGGGACAGGACTACTGTCATGGCTAATGGTAAGTAGATGACGAATGGTGGAGTACACCCTCCCACGAGGTCTCTCTTATGTTAGGATTGTATTTCCTGCCTTTCATTTATTTTTTAGAAAAGAAATTTAGAAGAGGCTACAAGATCTCCTTTAACTAGATCTGGAACGTTGAAGGTTCCTGATACCCAATAAACAAGGATCCTTCTTATCTCAACCACCATCGTGAGTCACAGTCAAGAGGATAGCTTGTATTGCCAAACGAACATGGGCTTGTTTGCCTACAGGCTATTGATAATCGAATAGTATTCAAATAGGCAATTGCTCGACTTACGAAGTAAGAGAAACTCGGAGGATCCAGCGACCCGACACCATGTCTCGTTTAACGAGGGTACTAAATACGTCAGATTCAGAATTCGACGGAGCCCTGACACGCGGAGATCTAATACGCTTATCTAAGCATCGGCGTGTAATAGATTCAGGCAGCGAGCCATCAGAGATTTCTCCACTCGTAGCAGACAGCAGAAAGCTCTGTTCTCTGTGGAATCGGTTGAAACGACGGACAGGATACAGAAACTGGCGTGATTCGATGATCGATAGGAAAGGCTCGCTGCGAGCCGTTCGAATTAGCCGATCCAGGGGTGCGGCCGGCGTAAAAAACGGAGCGATCGTGAGCCAGAGCCTCGATAATAGGATACCACGACCGTTCGAAGACAATGTACCCCGCTCGAGTGTACCTACACTGTACTAGGTGCTTTCTAAACGGATCGAGTCACCGAATATACCGATACGCTTTGAGAAGACCCAGCCCTTTGGCGTGCTATCCGCGCATTCATCTATCTTGCTGCTCGTGTTATGCCAGAGGTGAGGTTCAACGGAGGTACAGTTCCTCATGAAGTACTCAGCCACGGTCTTCATACTGCAGTCGCTCAAACGGCGTGAGCTGTCGCCAAAAAAGGATCGCGCAAGACGAGAAACCTAGGCGGGGAACGAGCACGTTGCACTTACATCCTCCCAAACGTATGAGCCGTTCGTTATGAAAGCTACGGAGGTCTATTTATCTTCGTTTAGAGATGCGAGAGGTTTTGCATTTCAATCAACGGAAAAACGCTGATAAGTGCTAATTGGCTCTTTGTGCGCCGACGGTGATCGTCGACAGGCAAGTTAATCAGACGATCGAAGAATATGAACTGACCAGAAATGTACTTTCACTCGTCAAAAGTATCTACCTATACCGATGTTCTAAGACGTGGGACCAGGTGCGTAACTCGTTATGACCACTGTGTACAGTTGGATTCTTTTCATTCGATTATCCCGTTGCTCGTGTTATGCCAGAGGTGAGTCGATCGGAGGAAGAGTTCTTCATGAAGTGCTCAGCCATCTCTATGCTCGAGTCGGTCAGGCGGGAGCTGTCGCCAAAAAAGGATCGTGGAAGCCGAGAAGAAACCCAGGCGGGTAATAAGCGATCCCCGCGTTCCGTTGCATCCTTCCAAACAGAGACACCCGATCTCCGCGGTAAAGGCCGAATAAGGAGTCGCGATATTTTGTCAGAATTAAGTTGCGGTCTCAAACGTGGACTGTTTATGGCAACGGGTATCCAAACGTTTCCGAAGCTCCTTTTATTGTTTCGACGCGTTAAGGATAAGGGTTGGGCCTGCTGCGCGGTTGCTTTGGCATTTTCAGTTTCGTTATTTATGGCTGGGAAAAGTCTACATGGGAGCCGAAGAACTTGGTGGCGCTTGTTGAGGCGCCACACTTTGGAGAAGCCGAAGATACGGAATAAACTAGGTTGTCTATAAAAGGAGATTATGAAATAGGGATGGCAAACCATGCAGTGGATCCTAAAGAAGAAATTGGTTTAAAAGCATTCGTGGACGTAAAACAGAGTTTTGGTTTGTTGAGTGGTAGATGTTCTTGCTTTTCAGGGGACTAAAAGAAATTTGTTTCAGAAGGTGTCGAGAGGTAGATTGCACAAAAGTAACACGGTAATATAAAACAAAGAAAAGATTTGTAGCGATGGTAAGTTTAATTACTGATACCATGTCAAGGGGTGACTCTGGCTCAGGTCAGCGCGATCTCGAGAAAATTTTGCCTCGTTAATCTTGATGCATCCTCGCGGACAAAACCAACACGTTCTTTAAACATCGCCTGCAATCGCTCCAATCTTTTTTAAACGGAGTTACACCACTTCTATAATGAACGGCTCACTTAGAGGCTACATTTGAAACCTCATCCACTCGATGCGAGAAATATTCCTCTGCGCCTGTCCAGAGAAGGTTGAGCTATAATGGATTAAGAAACACTCTCGTATACACCTGATGGCCTGGCTAATTGCTGTTATGCGCGCGGCGCGTTACGTGCGCGATGTAAAGAGAAATGTGATTTCGTGCCCCCGGTACCTCCACGCATTCCCGTAATCAGAATAATCAGAGGACAATTCCAATCGACTTTCTCCTTGGTACAAATTCCAGGGGAACGTGCAGATGAACAACGAACTCGCGGAAGCGGCTCGCGCATCGTTATTGAATAATGATTCCCCAACGAGGAGACTAACACGCACCGTTGCCTCCCACCTCGAGATCGGCTACCTGTGGTTGCTTTCTTTGTTACGACCTCGTAGGTACGGGATGATCGTGTACCATTTCGAAAGAGCCACGCCGGAGGTCGTACAAGGAGGATGAAATAAAAAGAATCTGCGGTCTCGGCGGTTCTAGCGCAACTTGACGCAACGGTGCTGACATGGACGATGATAACAAGGAGGTCAAAGGAACTTATGAGTTTGTGTACCTTGGAGGCGAACTATAAAAAATGTTGTATTTGACGAGTAGTTTAACGTATCTGTCCTTAGACTCAAGAAATGTTGACATAGGTAAGGTCTCTAAAGTCTGTAATTAGAGAAATATTCTCGAAAGTACCATACCAGAGGATTAATTTTAAGAGAACAAAGATAACGAAGATTTCATTGCTTCATTTATATTAGACGAATTACCGTAAATTGGGGTTTCATTATTTAAATATGGAAACACGCACGAACCACAAGCCGTGAGTTGTATTGCGCGTGGAAGATAAATAAGGAGAGAAGAGGAGGAATAAAAGAAAATCTGCGGTCTCGCGTCCTGACGCAACGACGGCGACGTGGTCGATGATAACAGGGAGGACGATTGAAGTGGACCTGGCTGCTCGTTCGAACGAGCCATCTTCTCGCAATTCCATCCAGCCCTGACGCAACGTGGGATTCTCGTGCATCGGAATTCCTAAATACGTGCACGGTACTTTCATCCCGGATGCCAACCGCACGCCGTCGGGGGGATAATCGTCTCGCGTTCATGGTAACGTGTAGAAAATTTAACATCCCACCGTGCCTCCAGGGGGTACATCGTCGCCAGCGCTGTGTAATCGTCGAAGGTGAGGTCTACGAAAGAGTATGGCGAACAAAGACGCGCGTCGAGTAGGGTTACCATCCCTGGATCCCAACAAAAGACTACGGGTCACGAATTGATCCTCTCGTGCTCGATGTCAGGGACTCTGTTCAAATTGAAATGTGTTGCAGGTGATGGAGAAATAGATGAGGAGGGGTTGACTCATCGTCTTGCTGGGCTAGAAATTGCCTCCGAAGTACAGACCCCTGAAGACATGAACAACATCGAAGATTGAGCAAAAGAATATTAAAAACTTGTATAATACTTTACAGATCTCTGAAGCTGACAGTTTTGACCAAGTTCTGCGAGATCATTATACTGAAAATAGCATGGACGTCTATGTTTGAGACGTTTCTATAAATGAGGAAACCCTGAATCGATCGATTTAATTACCTGGTCGTAAACATTGTCCTATATTCCATGTTTTCGAGGTGTGCCCCTCGAGATATACCTATACTTGGTAACTCGAGCGAGAAGTTTCTGATCGGTATGGAATTCGAAAATGTATCGCGATATTTCCAACGGCGATAGCGATCGATACTCGATGGCTAGCGCGCAACGCGAACGTTTTCGCGATTTAAGAGTATCGCCTCGCGAAGAGGAGCGAGTGAATGGGTGCCCCACGGTAGCGCCGAGAGCCTTCTCTCTTAGGTGAGTCGGGGAAGGAAAATATAGTTCAGCTTGGTTGCATAATGGATCGGAGGCGCATCAACTCGACGCGAGCTACTTTGAGAATCCATAGTAACAGCAAACGCGCGTCTCTTCTCCATCGTCAACGGTGACCTTTAGAGCCGAAGGCGCAGAGCGCTCGTAACAGAGGTAGGGGTGCTGTAACGGAGCGTCTCGCTTCGAGCCGTAGCCGTAGGCTACTTGAAGGTGGATGATCCAATTTCTAGTCGAGCTGTCCGTGTACCCGGCACCCGGACTCGACACGTTCGCCTTGAAAGCTGAGAGAATATAAGGGCAGATCCTTTGATTCCTCGCGCAGAGCTGCGCGAGACGGCGGGCGTCTTCGATTTCTGTCTGACGCTCTGGGGCTGAAAATCCCGGTTTCTATAATATTATTTCGTTTGTCATTAGGGGAAGTAATTGAACGTGAATAGTAATCACTCGCATCTGCGAAAGTCTGATACGGAACATGTGGTCTTGATTGCATGCATGTCATTAGAAAAAAAATAAATGTTTCATCATTTCAGGCTGATTAAGGCTTTTTCTACAGTTGGCTAATCTTTCATTTTTCTAGAGAAAGTATGACAGTTCTTGCTCAAATGTGACACACGGTTTTGTAGATTACCTAAGAAGGTTTTAGAATTCATACAGCTAGAATTAGCATTTTGCACGCTTCGACGTGCAGCGTGATGAGGAAAACATGCCATCACCGTGTGAATGGCCTGAAGCCATCAATTAAAGTTAAACTATAATTTATATGAAAATTAATCATCGTTGCCAATACATTCGAAGCGTCCTTCTCTATGCGTAAACACTATACAAGCGCATCTTTTTATGTTTCTAGCGTACATGAGATACAGTTTTACATACACACATAAAAATTCGTACTCAAATTCTATTAAAAACACAAAGTCGCAACTTATTAAATTGCGTTTCAATTATATAAAAAACTACATTTAAAATTCACCGAAAGATATTAGAAAAAGTAGTTGTTAAAATCGAATACTCCGAAGAACTGTATGGACAGGGAACGTGTTTAATAGAATCGTCGCGCGCGTGACGTTTAGTAGCATGCTTATGGGATCGATCGTCTTCACTTAAGATTTCCAACCAGATGCAAGACAGGCTTGACATTATGATGGGGAATTAATTACTACGTTGAAAGATTGATTTAGATTCGCGCTCACCGGTTTGTATGCAATATATTCGATGCAATTCGAGATAGTTTACGTTTAAGATCGTGGCAAATGATTGGATTTCAATCGTAACCGTTTTTTTCCTCGTACAAAATAATAAAGTTTATGGTTTCTAAAAATACAAATACCAATTAACTATCCACCTGTTTCACTGCCTGATTTCCCAATATTTTACTCGTATTAGTTAATCATTCGCTGTCACTCATCTCAATTGATTTCAATCAGCATTGAAAATCTATATCAAAAATTGTTTGAATTGATATTTCACGTATTTGCCAGATTTCACTTCAAGATATGCATTCTAATTAAAGCCTACGCGAGGTTGCATCTAATTAATAGAGATACAGGTGATTAAAATAGACAGGTAGCGTTCGCGCAAAATCCGAGAAGAATGTTAATTAGATAGAAGTTATTGCGCGATTCGTGGTTGCGAGTGTTTTTTATTGCGAGTTACAATATCTTCAATTCGAATTTGTACCGCCAACTGCTTATTTTATTCATGTGAAATCGTTTTCTCTTTAGTTAAGTAACGCATTCCTCGTTATTTTTTGCTGATAGTATTGCATCCTCTAACATTAAAATGCTATAATTTTCTAAAGAAAAACAAATCATGCTTAGAATACGATTCTGTACTTTCTACTTTGATATGAATTTTTATTTTCAAACTTTCTCTATTATCTTCGTTTAAAATTAAATAATTTATATTCTCATTTAAATTCAAATCCCAGGATAACCAACCTAATGTTTTGAGCGGCAAGAGATTGGCAAGATTGTACTCGAACGATTCGGCGACAGAACCGCCACCTTTGAGTGGCGTGTTGAACTTCGTCGAGGTTATCGACATACTTTTAAACGTTTTGAATTGTTCCCGACAGTTTCGGGACGCGAAAGTGGAAGCCGGAGTTCTGTAGAATGCAAGAACCGTTATGGCCAGCTTTCGTTGAAGTATTCGGTTACCAAAACTCAAGGATTCAGTAACTACGCTTTGCGCAGGATGGAGGAGGACCAGGAGCCCGAACACCCGAATAATGTTCTTCTATTTCGGCTTGCCATTTCAAATAATTTCAAACGCATCGCGGAGTCGGTGAGGTGAGTCAGTTTTGATTATTCAATGTTCTGGTAACTCACGATGCTTATTAGTATAACGTATAATTAAGACGAGATGTCTTGCTCTTTGGTTTTTGTTAAAAAAGCTTTTCTATAAAGATGTTATTTTATAGGTTATGAAAACTGTCACGTATGCGCTGGTACTCGCGGTTGTTTTGGATGTGGTAAACGCATGTGCGGTAATTTGATGTGCTAATTTAATTTTTCAAAATTTTTTATTTCTTAATTCTTAACATAATGTAAAACTTGGTGTTTAGATTTGTACTTTCTCTCTTCTGATTGATGTTCCTTTTCTTCATATTATTAATGTACTTTTTCCACATCTATAAATAAGCATTCATTGTAAATATGATGCATCACATGTATATTTGTTTCGAGCCTTACTTTCCCTGTAAGCATTTCGCACAGAACCATTTTGAGTTCACATCATGATACAGGTTCCACGCAACATTCTAAATTAAAATCTCGATACCTCTAGTTCACTTATAAACATATGTTTAATTCTAAAATGTTCAGAAATACATCTAGTTCCAGTTAAGCTAGAAACAAAAGTATACGAATATTTGGTTGGTTTCCAGGTTCCAGGTTCCCTTAATCGCAATGTCAAAACTAAATTTTGATTGCAGAATATGTAGACATAAGAAAATAAATTTTATATACTTATGTAACATCTAGAAGTCCATAATGAATTAATGTAGAGTGTATTCAAAACTGTTAAACAATTTTTAACACGAATTTGCACGCTTTAATAGCCGCCAAAACTTTGCCAAGTTCCAGGTTATGTTATATTTGCGTGCGATAACAGTACCGCTAACCTAAAGTGTGTCAAGTGCGGGCCGCGGTCAAGAATGTTGCTTTAATTAAGAATGAAAGCCCAAGGGAGCCCGAACACGCAGCATCAACGGTCCGTTTGGATCAGAGATGGACAAAATATTCGAATAATAGATGACGAATAAAGTCAAATGTACAGAGATTTATTCGCTCACCTTATCTGATTGAATTAGTTAAATACGTGTTTAATATCACATATATCATTCTGTATTTACAAAAAATTAATGTAGAGTACATACGGCTCGTTTGGCGGTGTTAAAACGCCACGAGGGGAACAAACGAGAGATGGTGTTACTCGATGTCATTGGCCTCCGTGACTCGCATGTTAATTTGTGGTGTTCACGTGGCCGAGCAATTGTCTGCTGTCGTTCGACCATGTTCTGTTAGCTAACGATGGAAATAATACTTATTTAGGACCCTGAAAAGGATGGCTGGATTCCAATGATTAATTACGATTTCACATGAATCTCTTATTCATATCGTACCGGATATAGTTCAAGAGACATTGTTACAGAGTATGGAATTGCTTGATAATCGTGAGAAGGTACTGATCAGTCCCATCGCTATCAACGAGGACGCTGCGATCCCCGAAATCGGTTCCCTTTAGTTTCCGCTTCCCAGAAATTGTCGGTCTTTGAAACCCAACACACCAGTTGACCTTCGAAGAATTCCACGAAGTGTTCGAGGAAACAAAGGGCCCCCGGTTCGGTCACCATCATTCGGCTGGCTCCATCATTCGTGCAGTGCGTGTCGCAGGGATCGCGCGTGCCTCTGCTCTCCGTTATTCTCACGTTAGAATAATTTAGTGACCAACGGGACACGCTGCGACCAGCATCGCCTCGTCTCAACCAGCTCGTTATTATTTACATTTAACTCGTGTTGTTCGAACGTCTTACCATTATTTCTCTTTTGTCATTTTTCTCGGGGATAGCGTAAATTTCTTCGTAGCATTTTTACGCGATTACGTCACGGCGGTTACGTGTCTTCGTCGAAAATTTCGTCTTCGGTTCCCACAGGAAATCTCGATTGGATCTGAACCCGTCGGAAATGGAATTGGACGAAGCTTACTCAACTAGGTCCGGACTAATGCAAATATGTAGCATCGATATCAAATTGCACCAGTCCCGGCCTGATTGAGTGCGCGTGAAACGACGCCACGACGGAAGAAGAATCGGAGGTGTGGCTTTATCCTTATAATTCCATGCTCTTCCCACGAGAATTATTATGTACAGAACGCTCGTGGTCTATGTAGAATACTAATCCAGAGTATTGCAACATTGTGTAGTATATAGGTCTTTAATGTATAATTCTGCGATTCATTGTACTTGTATGATGGGATTAACAAATATTTGTATGTCAATAAACAGTGGTGTATTATTCAACTGGCGACCGAGACACGTGCTCGTGGCCTCGATTAAAGATGGCCTCCAAAATTAATTTTTCAGCTATTTATTGTTTATCAGAGCACTCGTACGCAATAAATGTAAATCTAATTGTTATCGAAAATTGTATAAGAAACTTATCGAATGACTTATTGTATGTCAGATTTCCCTGTGTAAGAAACTCAGATTGAATTTAAAAGTACTCCATCCCGTTTACGATTACGAAAATATTCTCCTAATCCAATCACCCTCGATGCACGAAAAAATAATTCCGGAAATTGCGCAACACGATTACGTCTTGCCATTGTATGCTTATTATAATATTACAAAACTGGATTGGGTTGGCTTGAATACTGGTTCTCTGCCCATTCAAACACGAGGGCCTTTGTATGTGGTAGACAAAGAAAAATTTGATTCCGGTGATGGCAAAGCTACCACAGGCACACCGATCATTGAGTCGCTTCATCGTTCGCGGAAGTACATATTTATCTCGCCAAGTGTGTTGGTATAAAAGGAACGTTTTTTCGCTCGAGTTACCGCGCACGCAACAGCACGCATCTCATGTACACATTTTTGTTCCTCCGTGCTTTGATCTCGTCTTAATTAAATTTCCATATAAAATGTACGACTAATAACGACATTTTTTTTCAGCAAAGAGGAGTTTCTCGACATTCTCACGATATTAAAATCAAAACCAAAAATTGTCCAGAAGCTGCACAAAGCTTTGATTAAAGAACTTTACGATAGCATGACAGGCGATTTGGAAGATATATTGAAGGAAGGTAGTTTGCAGGAGTCTCTGAAAAAAGTTGCTATATTGTCTGACGAAAGTTCTTCTATACACGAGGACGCTTGGTGAGTTGAGATATGGATTCATTCTTTTATATAATACTTTATTTTAATGTTTTTGTTAATATGTTATTTTAGGAGGCCCCCGGGAAACGTAACCTTGCATTTACGATCTTTGGACGCTGAAGAGATCAAGGAAGAAAGCAAACGATTGTCGAAACGAGTGAATGAAATCGAAGAAGAGAACGCATGTTTAATGAAACAAATTACAGAGAGAAGATCAAGAATATTCGCACTGCACGACAGTATAACGCGGTCCTTAAGTAAGACGCCGATTACGATAGATTTATTAGAGAAGAGACTGGAACAGTTAGAAAAATGCGTAAAGTTGCTGGACCACGAATAATTAATAACGTATCAAAATTGTAACTGTTGACAAATGGATAAAAAATATCTCTAAATATTCCAAGTACTCTGTATAGAAATTAGGATAAATGAGAACGAAATAGTTGTATTGTATATAGAACAAAGTGTTCTCAAACAAATGTGATGTTCGTGTTCGTAATTAAGATTTTATCAAATAACTTAATACTTTAACGACCTCTTGTCTTTTTTAACGATCAACACTGAGAGTCTAGCTTCTATTTGTTGCATACGAAAGGATGCTGTACATCCGTTGTTAAAGTGTTAATAAACATTTGATCGATTTAAATGATAATGTAAATAAGTATTTAAATGAAAGGTTCGCACAATACTTGTTCTGATAAATTTATTCATTATCTTTGTTTATAACATAACCTTTCATTTGATTACTTAGAGCATGGAGGCCCAGATCCGAATTGTTGTAAATAAGTACTGCTATTATACTGTATCTTTTCCCTTTGACAATTTAATTAGAAACGTTTAGTGATTCTAGGATCAGATAGAATTGCATTTGCTCTTCCCTTCAAATCTGGCGTAATGCTTGTCCTTTCCACTATTTTCTTCAATTTTCGTAACAGCGCGATGTTTTTTTTCTAAAAATACGACCGCAGAAAGATTTAATCCAACGCGCAGAAGTAATATACATCAAAAATTTACGTACTTCTTGAACGGTGATCATATTTCTTATTTCTATCAATTTTTTGTCATTTTCATCTGCAACATTCTTTAAGTCCGTCAATTCTTTTTTCAAGTTATCTCTTTTTAGTGTTAAAGAATTAACTTTTTGGTGAACAGTTTCTTCGTAATTGTTTACATTCTGAACACATTTTATATATTCACAGTGGACTTTATCCAACTCTACCTCGAGATCTTTGTATTTTATTTCCATGTCTTTCAGTATAAATAATCCTTTATTTGCCATATGATTCACGTTGAAGATCTCCATCTCCGTGGACTGGTAGTCGTTACGACATTCAACCAATTTTGATTTATAGTGTTCTATTGTCATTTTTATTTCACCTAAATCGAATGTATTCAAGGTTCGTTGCATGTCGTTGAATCCTGTTGCTATTTAGAAAACATTGAAATTTCTGTTACATTTTTAGTTGCTTTTTGCATCGATATTTATTGTAAGAAGAAGGTAGAAACTAATTTTCTACATATAATACCAATGTCAGGTTTATCTTTTTCATTTTCGTAGCTCATTTTTATTACGTAATATTTGTCAACAGTAGTTTGGTGTTAACTGATTAATCTTAGTCAAGTAATCGATCGATTACGCTGTGAATTTAAATATTTCTATTTTTATCTAGATAACGAATAATGATTACGACTGACTAAAAATTTATTAAGTTATTAATGAATCTCCATGAGCGATTAACGGTCATGTATTTCTCAATCGTAACGGTAATTAAATTTTAACAAATATTTCTTTTGACTACAGCACGATTCGAACGGAAAACCAACATGGCCGCTGGCGCGCCAAACCATTCCCGCCTAAACTGACGCTGCTTCCTGGTTGGTCGGAATGGACCAGTCACGCAAGTTCTTTCTGTCGGTAACTTGCTGTAAAAGCCGGTAGATGGCAAGAGCGTTAGCTCAGTCCCCGCTACGCACCCGCTGTTCGCCATTGTATCGTGATTGCTGTAAAGTTTCGTGTTTGTGAGTGAGAATTGATCCGGTTTACCGAGTTCTGGAATCTTTCCACGCATTGGGTGAGTCGAAAATCACATTATATTTCAATGTTCTTTATGTACAATCTGCGAAATTCGTGTGCTTCTTTCGATTATGCCGGCAAAGTGGTTCGTCCCGGTGGAACATTTTTTGGGGGTTAGTTTCTGACCCTCGCGCGTCGAGTCAGCCCTCTTTCGTGCGCGTGGTCAAGCCGTGTGCCAATCACTTCAACCTTTTTTCCATCGTATTTTGCCAATGTTTTGTCTCGTCGACAATTACTTAGCAACAATAACCGCTTCCGAAGTGTCGGCGTACTCGTTGAGGTTATATGTCGACCACGACAAAGGTTGACTCGTACTATTGCTCAGTGACGCTCACTCCAATTTCTGGCGTGAATACTCACTTTACAAATTAACTATATTTCTATTCTATTACGATGAAACATAAATTTTGCGTACGAACATTAACTATTCCAATGAAAATTAAAGTTTCAACTCGTCGTGTTAATACTGCTCGCGTTTAGAGTATATTTTCTGTTCAGCGTGGTTGTTCCTTGTGGGAATCAAGCTTAACGAGTTCGTTGCTTTTCCAGTAGCGATACTACGCCGTGCATTTTTAGACGGTGCGTACCGACATTCGAGTCAATAATTTCGGCCATGCCACGATACGTAAATTTTACGAATTTTTTTGTCTCGTGCTCGCGTAAACACGTGCACGCGGCATCTTTCCATCTAGCAGATATCTATTTTTCCTACATCGTGTAAACGATGAATCGACCGCATGGAACGTAACGACTTAATCATATTTTTTCTGAACGTTATCTTGCTCGATAAGAACCGGATTTACAGCGAGTTTCAAAAGTATATCGTAACTTTGGCCATTGCGAGCATACAGGAGATAAACTAATAAATAATTCATCGTACGTTCGAGATAACGTTATTTAGTTTGAGAGCCTTCTCTCTTTAGCGCTTGAGAAAATGGGACTTACGTTTTTACGTAAAATTGAAGTCGTTTCTCGCTCCAATTTTACGCGTGGTCTTGGTGAGTAATTCGTGAGGTTTCAGAATTTGTATGGATAGAAAAATGTCCTGAAATTCGTGGGATATTTTAGAGTAAGGGTAGGAAATTGATTAGGTGTCATTTTTACACTCTTTAATAAATTATAGAAATAGTTTAGTAAAGAACAAAGATATTGCATGTCTAGTGTAACTATAAATCCTAAAAATCTATTCCTTTATTTAAGTTGCATTTTTAGACATGAATCTTCAGATAGGTATAGATATAGACTTATTTACCAACCTTTCCTTATGTTTACTCTGTGATAAGTTACGTACATATTTGCAATGTGGAAGTTATAGATACTTTTAGAATTCCCTGTACCTACGTCGCACCTATTTACGCTCCTCTTAATGCGTTAATGATGACACAAACGTGTTTCCATTCGGGATAACATCACCGAGGAACCGTCGACGGTTTGTCCTCGTCTTAGTCGGTAATTCGACGATTTCTTCGCGTCCTTTCAGCGAGTTCTCGTTACGTAATTTGTTATTTGACGGATAGGACTCGCAAATACAGGGTGTCCCAAAAATGTTGTAACACCTTGAAAGGGGTGGTTCGGGAGGTGATTTGAAACAACATTTTCCTTAGCGAAAATGTTGTCCGAGGCTTCGTTGAGGAGATATTAACGGAAAACACTGACCAATCAGAGCGCGAGGATGCCGTTGGAGCGGCCGCGTCCAATGTCCTTCGATACGGGTCGAGTCACTTGTTCACGTACGAGCGCAGCCGTTCAGCGCGTAGCCTTCGCTACCGCGGCCGGTCCAACGGAATCCTCGCGCTCTGATTGGTCAGTGTTTTCCGTTAATATCTCTTCAACGAAGCCTCGGACAACATTTTCGCTAAGGAAAAAGTTGTTTCAAATCACCTCCCGAACCACCCCTTTCAAGGTGTTACAACATTTTTGGGACACCCTGTACATGAAAAATTGTCCCGTAACAAGTGATACAATAGCCGCATGTCACGTGTCCAATTGCATAATGTTCTTTCTATACGTTGCTCGATAGAGTGTTTCCCATTATCGTTAGACGGTACACAAGCCGTAATGAAAACGCGTCTCGAGGTAAATTTTACGATAACGATTCAACGCACGCTGAAAGCGATCGATTTATTGCGCGAGGTATCGGTTACACAATTTGAATAGCTTACGACTAAGTTTTGCGATGAAATATGTTCTCTGCGTGAATCGAAAGCGGTTGTGATTCGTTAAGGTCGAGGATTAGGGTTTTTACATGTCAACGAACGTGACCTTGAGTCCCGACAAGTCTGCTCGTATCACGACTGAACGGGGAAAGTTCATCATGGAGATTCAGTTGGTGGTTGAATGTTGAAAACATGTTTGCTGGACACGATTGTGACAGTACGTGCAAATATTGTTTATCTAGTGCAATTCTTTCCAAAGTAGAGGGCATCGCTATCACGAGTCTTACCGATGATACATTTGAAATTATTTAAGTTGACACTTGAATATTTTTGTTCAGAATTATGTCACCAGTAACACTGCGCGCAATGTACGATAATCCAAAAGATAAAGTACTTCGTGTTTCGAGGTACGCACGTCCCATTTCGAGAATCGATGTAGACATAGTCATCCATAAAGGCAAGGTTTTTTCCTTATCGATGTAGATTGTGGTGTTATTTCAGAATTGCCTCGAGCGATTATTTTAGATGGCTCTGTTGACTCATTTTTCCTATCATGTTCGAGCACTTGAGCATTTTAAATCGAAGTAAACGTTATCTCTATTTCATTTGTTAGAACATATAACTTTACACCAATCTCTTAACGATTACATAAGCATTTACATTCTTCATGGACCGGTCAGAATGCTTGTACAGTGGGTGTAGAATCTATTCGTACACCGATTAATTTCCCAAAAAACTTTTGTGTGAAATTGTAGTTTCTTAACTTCTTTTTTTATAATCAATGATATTTCACATATTCTCGGAAGTCTCTAAGATAGATATAGTCCAAACAACATTTACTAGTTGATATAATTTGTGAAATTAACAAAAAAAATGCGAAAAGTGGGTGAAAGTATAGAAGCAATTAGTATTTGTACGATTCTTCAACCATTTACAGCAGAGTTTGTAACGTAAACACATTAGTTTATTGCTCCGTGCGAATTAGAAAACATCAAATTTCCAGTAAAGTAGTTTTAAACAGTTGTGCGAATACTTATTGCTTCAATATTTCTATCGATTAATTGTTTTTTTCTTGTTAATTTCGCAACTTACATAAACAGCTATTTTTTTTTTGTAATCTATTTATTCTAGAGATTTCCTAGAACATGTAGAATGTCATTGTTTATAAGAAATATGTTAATAAATTACAATTTTACACAGTTTTTTTGGAAATTGATCGGTGTACGAATACTTTCTACACCCACTGTAGGTTATATACGCGGACGTGTATGAGTTATAGGTTACAGAATTAGAAT